GGGCAGTTTGGCAGTTTGGTGAAAGAGCGAGAACTGAGAACATTTTTCTACAAAACACGAAAAAAATTGTGTTACGTGGAGAGTATCGATAGGTTACGTTGGCAAATGCTACCTACCTTAGCAGCACTGCTAAATGCTTTTACTTCCAGTAGTTGATGGCGGGGTTATTTATTGAGACTTTGGGCACAACAGTGACAACGGCTATTGCTGGGGTGGCTATCTAGGAGCGGTGCTGAGAGCTACTACCAACCTGGTGATCAAGCGTCATGCGTCATTCCACCTGAGCTGGGCCACGGGTACAATTCACGGACTATAAGTGTCAGTCAAGAAAATGGCAATGCGGAGTACTTTGCCTCAGCTGCTGTTAACTGTCAGCAACGATCCAGAATTTGTGTACGAGGGCCGTACTGTCGAGAAGCTCCTAAAAAGTCTAAGGAAGGGCATCGGTCCGATGCCTTCCGATGATCGGCAAGGTCGTCGATTTGATTCATGGATGGGTAAACTGCGGCCACTACGAAGCACGATCATGAAGGCTTGGTCAATTCACGCAGACTGCCAATCCGCAGCAAATGCAAAACGCGTTATTCCCTCTCTTTCGAGTTTGCTCTTACTCGTATTTTGCCAACAGCATCGTCCACACGATATCAAAAGAGCTGCCACCGTTGCCACTACTGTTAACTTTGCTTTCCCAGCACGAACTGACTTGGCGCTTTGCCAAGCCAACAATACCCACACCATCCGAGTAAAAAGGTTTAGCTCCAGTCCTGCTGTCAATAGCACTTGTCCACCACTCTATCGCGTGTTTAACAGAGCTGTCCGGGGGTGCCGCAACTGATATTGCATGCACCTCGCCGGTAAAATCTCTAGGTGTCATAGAAGTCGGCAAAGCAGGAAAAAACTCATACCCTTCTCCATCATTCATGTTGGTGGTGAATGGCACAGCTCGACACGTCGTCGTCAGTTCATGAGCGATCAGAACCAGCCGCGCGTCAACCGATAGCTTGCTCTTCCCGCGCTTGGTCCGAAAGGAATTGAGCATCCGCAGCGCCGTCTCCGCATCGTCTTCTGTCATGTCATCTTCTGTGTCTTCTGAGAGCGTCAGCCCGAAGTCGTAGGCCCGAGTCTCATCCGGGGCGAATCTGGCCGGTAAGAAGCCGCACAAATGACTGGCGTGGAGAACAACAGCGTTGGTAGCTCCCTGTTTGAGCTGACACGTGCCGTCGGATGCAGACGCCCATGTCCAGTGGGAGCAATTCGCCTCTGTGATGCACAATTCAGCGCAGTGAGAGCTGGGCTCGGACTCCAGTGACAACAGCTCAAACCCCTCGAAGTGCCACTCGTAATCCCATTGCGCACGGCCATCACTGCCGCGCAGCCACGCCTGCGAAGAGCCGAATTGGGTCAACCAAGCGAGCCACACCAAACGTAGCATCTTTGAAAAAGATATGTGTCGATAACGCGTACTGTGACACTGAAATACTTCAGTCACCAAATGACGCTGCTCATGAATTTATTATGACTCAACACGATCGTCTTACTTGCTGCGCTTTACTACCAGGAAGACTGCATGGAAACTCTGAGTGGATGTATCACCGAGAGTTCCACGGAGTTCCTCTTAGCGCCCCTTTGCTCGTTCCAATACCTTACTCCTGCCAGCCCAAGAAATCTAGCGCCTCGCCACCGAGGTACAATGATCCCGTCACTAGGACACTCCAGTTCTCGTCCCACTGCTCCTCGTTCTCTGAGGCCTCTCCCTCGACAAGCGAGGCATCAGATTCCTCAGACAGCGCGCGCAGTTCATTGATGCAGTCCACGACCGAGTCCTTCACCGCAACGACGCACTTGCTCTGATCCTCCTTGACCACATGAGTCTTCAGTCCGGTCCAAATACGGGAAAGCGTAGTTTGCCACGGGTGGGACTCGTTATTCACATCATCCAGAACCGCCAGTTCGTCGGGTGAGTATGTTGCCATCACGCGCTGGAAACCGGCGATCTCGAGAGCCTCCGAGAATGTGTGTACCTTGGCCAGACTGGGACGCGAAGAGCTTGTCGGGCAAAAGTAAACACGGTCAAAGTGCTGATTCAGCAGCGGCTCGAACAGCTGCGCCACATTGCGCTCGTGATGGATAGTAAATATAAGCACACGCTTGTCGGCCGGTGTTGTTCGTACCGCAGCCTGGCGGAACCAGTCCGCACAGCATTCGAGACTGCGCAATGTGTGTGCACCGTCAATGTAGAAACGCATCTTATGTGCTTCATCCTCCCATAGCTGTGCTCGGCCCGGCCAGAAAGCGTGTTTCAGTCCTTCTTTCACATCTGGTTCAAGTGCATTAGCGATGTCCAGCTGGTCGGCAGCGTCCTCACCACGCTTGTTACGAAGCCACGTTGAAGCTAACGCCACGGCAAGGCCTGCGTTCGTGCGTTGATAGTCTCCGTGCAGACCCAGTTTGCAGTTCGCTCCGTCCGGTCCGAATCCATCCAGCGTTGGCACACGTACTAACGGCGTGGCAGTCTCAGCGGCACATTTTTCCAGCATCTGCATCGCCATCGGTTCCTGCGCAGTGGTGAAGGCCGCCACACCAGGCTTAAAAATGCCTGCCTTGGCGTAGGCAATCAGATCCAGCGTCTCGCCCAGCACGCGCGTGTGGTCCAGATCAAGCGTCGTAATACCACACACCACAGGCTTGCGGAACACATTCGTTGCATCTAGTCGTCCTCCAAGACCGACCTCCAACACGACAACGTCCACTTGCTCGTCAGCGAAGAGATGCAACGCCATGAGTGTGAGGAAGCGGAAGAACCAGGCCATTGGTGGGTACGGCCCACTCTGGTCCTGTGTGTGCTCCAATCCGTCCCACACAGCGTTAAAATGCCTCAAGAACACTTCGTCTGCAATGGGTTTTCCGTTAATGCGGAAACGCTCACAGGGAGAAACGAGATGGGGCGAAGTGAAGAGGCCAGTCTTATAGCCTGCTTGGCGTAGGATACGCTCCACCATGGCACAGGTAGACCCCTTGCCCTTGGTACCTGCCACATGCACCACAGAGAGCGCTCTTGGGGAGCTACTGTCCACGACGTCGTCCAGGTGCAACCGCTTGAGGTAATGCTGCATCATGGCAATGGTCTCTTCCCGTGTGGACACCTGCGTGTCCTTACCTGGCTGTAAGTCCTTGAACGCGGAGCTCACACCAAGCAGACGGTTCAGCGCTGCCTGCACTTGCTGGCTCATGTCCGCGGCGCTGCTAGTACTGCTCATAGGGCTGCTAGGCGCCGATGTGGCGCTACTGGCGCTGGAGGGTGCCACTTTGACGGGCGTCACGGGTGCAGCGACTGCGGGGGGCGCTGTAGTTAGCGTCATACTTGGACGAAGAAGTAACGACGCAGCCAAGCTCTCGCGGCCCAGAGACGATCGCGCAATGAGCCTGCACACTCGCCGTGTTCGCTGCGGTTTTATTTCCACCAATAGTAGCCATTTGAGGAGTGGGTCCTTGCTTGTAATTGGTTGTCTGGAGAAATTTTTATGTCACTATGTCACTAAAGTAGGAGCACCATTGGCTGGACCAGACGCCGTCCACACACGTCACACATTTCCAGTAAACTGTCCATTGGAGGTGAGGACCTTTATTAGTGTCGAGGAGCTGATCAACGACTGCAGACGATGGTGCGACTGGGAGTGAAGATTAAGAAGCGCGGGAAAGTGCCGCAGCGCCGCCGCAAGCAGAAGCCGCTGCGCAAGTTTAAGACCAAATTCGTGCGCGACCCAAAGGTGCAGGAGGTCTGGGACCACAACCTCACTACGCGCCAGAACTACGTCAACCTGGGTTTGCAGGCCAACCCGAACGCGCACGCAGCGTTGCGTGAGAGCATAGCGGACGCGGATGGAACACTCGAGGCTGCTGACGAGGCGAGGCTATTCGAAGTGCCCGACAGTGACTTCCTGGGCGAACGCAACCCCAGGCGCGTGGCTAACTATGTGTCTGAAGAAGAGGCCAAGTATCTGCGCAAACTTATCGCCAAATACGGCGAGGACTACAAGAAGATGGAGCGTGATGTCAAGATCAACAATATGCAGTGGACAGAACAGAAGCTGCGACGTCGTTGCGCGCGCCTGGCGCTGCTGGACGCCAACATCATCAGCAAACCGCAGGCAGAGGAAACACAGGACTGAGCGACTATGGTACCAATAGATTTCAACGTAATTTGCAACTAGCGGTGTGGTGGAGGCTCTGAAAGCTGCGTAGATTCTCTATTTTTTGTGATCCTTATGCGCCTTCACTCTACAGGAGACGCTGCGCGTCTGGTGTCCACGCGAACCCCCTTCCTACTGTCACTATTTCGCCGATGCCATGCTATACAAACTATTACCTGACGGCTTCCGAGCAACGCAAGTCACGCGTGGCGTACGATGGGAGCTCTAATACACTAATAAATACGCCGTGACTTGCACCAGCCGACTGCTTGATCTTCGTTGCTTGTCCAATTCAGTGCCAACTTAACCCGATGTTACGGTAACGTGCTGCAGCTGAGGTGATGTCGTGTCGGGCGACGACGCGTTAGAAGCCGAAGTGGGCGATGCCGAAGACGGCGACGAGAATGGCATTGCTGACGATGACGCTTTTCCACATGGGCCTCGAACCACAGACGTCGTAGATAAAGACGGCGGGGGCGAGATGCCACCGCAAGAGGATGAAGACGACGAGCCGCTGGTAGACCCCACAGTCGCGGTAGTTGCTACAGAAGAAGTCGAGCACAACGACCCGGAAGGAGATGACACAGAAGACGCGGCAGGACGCTGCATCTGCTTCAGCATTCCAGTCGATAGATTGGTCACACCAGCCAACGCAGCTCTCGCCTTTGCACTTGAAGCATTTCCAGGAGTACCCGTCGAAGACCCGGTACTCCCCTTCCTTGCTCCTGCGCTGGCAGCAGCCTTTATCGCTGCTGTGACACTGCCAGCGAGTTCCAGCGTAGCAGCGGCAGCCGCCTGGGCGTTAGCAGCCTCCTGTGCCTCGTCGTTAACGGCATTGACCACCACATGAGGCAGCTTCTTGTGGGCCACAGCACGCTTGTGATACGCACGCTTAGCCGCGCGTAACTGGTTCTGCACTTGGCAGCGTGGGCACGGACCGCCCTTGCGGTGACGATGTTTCGTGCCTTCCACCTTGTGCTCGGTGGCTTCAATCTTGCGCTTGAGTTCACGCAAATCTTGAGGGAGGTTCGTCAGGTCCGGCAGTGGCAGGTTCTCCAGCTTCGAGAGAGCCATTTTGGACAACGACGCGCCTGGTCCAACGATGCCCTTAACGTCCAAGTCTTGCTCCGTGAACGTCCCTTCTAAGTCTGCAAACGTCTCCTGCATCTTGAGCGTCATGAGTCGCTTGCGTTCCTCGCGCTTCTTCGGCGTCTTCTTCTCGCCCTTGCCCGGCGACTTGCTGTTACCCAGACCATTCTCGTGGCCAGTTGCTAGCAGAGGCACAAAGCCGCTAATTGTCGAGCCATCCGAGCCATCTCCACCGTTCTGCTGGCCACCAAAGGCGAGGCTAGTCGCCAAGGAGCCACCGAGCTGGTGTGGATGCGGTCCACCTCCACGTCCTGACGTAGAATCGCCACTGCCTGGCACATTGAAGTTCACAAGCTGCACTTGGTTCTTGTAGGGATGATGCAGCTTCCGCTTGTGCAGACATGAGCTCAGGATGTGGCTCACAGTGCGATTCTGGAATGTGCCAAAGTCCAAACTGTTCCAATCCTCGACAATATCGACGTTCGACGGACTCTTGCTGCTAATAGGACTGGATGCCATCACCTTGTCGTTGGGCTGCTGAATTGAGCGGTGGGTTTGGATCGCAGTGAGGCCATTAATAGCGGGGTTAGTAGAGGTGGTCGTACCGTTGGCACTTCGGCCAGTCATACCAGCTGACGTTGCAGCGTTCCGTGTCAAACCGTTGGCCTGCAGCCTCCGCTGTTCTTGCTGCTGAGCTGCCTCCAGATCCCACTGCAAGAACCGGTTCTCACGGTCGCACAGCACAGCGTGATCAATAGACGAAAGCAGGTCGTGCTCGTAGCTGTCGTTCTCCATTCCCCATACATTACCTTCCTCGTCTTCGTCCGCTTTGCTCTCGTCGTCTGTTTCCGCTTTGCTTTCCGTGTCCGGTGACACTGACACATGCAGTGCCTGCGGACTATCTGTTCGCGATAGCTTAGCACGTTTGAGCGGCGGGCTGGACGACAGCGACGCGCTGCCCAGCACGAGATCCAAATCATCGTCATCATCTTCGAACAATGCAGCAGTGACAGACTTCTTGCTAAGTGGCGAGTTCTTCGCAGCTAGCGGCTTCTGTGACGCACCCTGCCCTCGCAGGTATCCTGTCGTTGTCTTTGCTGCCTCGGTAGTGGCTTGGGTGGTCTTCTGCTGTAGAAATCCGTTGGTGCTGCGCTTCATGAATGGCGAGGCAGTAGGTGGCACCACTGGCGATGCCGACGTGGCACTTTTGGCGTCTTCTGCAGTGGCAATCTCGTTGAGTGCTAGCGGCTGCGGCTGCGTGTGCTGGAAGTCAAATACGTCCATGTGGTGGTCGAGGTCGCCGAGATCGAGATCCATCCAGCGTTGCAGCTCGTCCTGCGTGTCCATTTCCTTGTCGCCGTCTCTTGCTGCTATCCTAGCGAGGGCTTCGTCGTCTTCATCTTCCAGTGCCCGTCGCAGTCTCCGCGCGGCTTCGTCCTCTTCCTGTGTGCGCGACAGCGGGAATAGTCGCAGCAGCTGTTCGTCTTGACTCACCAGCGAGTCCACGCGCTGCACAGTCTCGCTGGCATCGCATGAGCTCTCGGAGAACTCTTTCATAATGTGCAAGAACTCGACACACGTCTGACTGCGCATGTCGGCGGACTCGGTTCCTTTAGCCGCGTCTTTGTTGGCACTAGCAGCGGCGGTGGCTGTCGCGGACACGCGCGGCGCGTCGGTACTTCCTGTCGCAGGTATTTGTAGGCGCAGCGGCTTCTCCAAACGCGTGGGCGCCGCGGTGGCCGCTTCTCGGGGCGACGTCATCTTATCGGCGGGGTCGGTGCTCTGCTCGTAAGCTCGGGCAATTATCTTTGCCTGCCCAGCCATTACGCCCAGACGACGGTGCAACAACGACAATAAATGGGTCAAAGTATGTGATTGGTCAAATTCTACGGCGGCCAATCACGAGTGCGTGTGGACAAATAATGAGTTGCCTGCACATAAAATGAGTTTTTTTTTGGATACAAATACCCAAAATTGCGCTGTGTCCAGTTCAGGCCTCTTGTGCTGGTTTTGCACCGAAGACTTCGACACCGATACACTCGCAATCAATCAGATCGCTCCAACTCACGTCCGAGCCGGCTCCGGTTAGGACTAGGTCAGGACTGATTTCACTTGCTTTTTGTATGAATTTACATGGATCAACGCGTGGCAGTACCTTTCGACCAAGCAGATGTTTATTTCAGGTGGGTTCAGGTTTATCTGCACCAAGTGGCTAAATTTGGCATACCATAAAGGCGGTATGCATGTTGCCGTGATTGCGGTGCTTGTTATGGTCTTGCCCTTGCCTTCCTTGTAAAGCTCAGAAGCGGTGACTACATGCCGGACACTGCTGGCTCAGATCTCTCGGAGTGACGTCATGCTGCCCCGGGATCTGCTGCTTATGGAATGGATACTAGGACTTGAAGTTGAAGACGGTCTCTATCTGCAGTGTGAATGCCTTTTATTGCGGCACTATGCACAATAGCAGCGTGCTGCTGTGGCGCTACTCCGTAGCCTGGTTTGCTGTAGCTAGGAAATCTAATATCATCTAAACTCTTGCGACTGACATATGAACTTACAGCAGGTTCACCATACGAAGGGATTGACATCTCTTGCGGACTCGGACTGCTGCATGGTATGGTATCGTCACTTGGGCATTCCTCGTACTTCTGAAGTACATGTTTGCTGAAGCAGTTGATGTCCTGTGGCCTGATCTCTCTGCCGCCATCTGATTACACTGTGTCCAGCGGAGAGCGCACGAAACAAAATGGTGCCGACGGAATGGAGTGTCAAGAACAGCGGATACAAGTCGCTCATAGTGCTCTCACGGTGTTGAATTCGCCTGCAACTACGTCAGTGAGATACGGCCACGGCACTGAGGAGTCTAATTCCCGCGGTCTGAAGTCATTGAAGATAATTCTGTCGTGATTGTCTGCACCTTACCATTGCTCGTTGCCTATCGGATGAGCTCCTAATCGCTTCGTTTTGCAGTGGCGAGGGCATCAAAGTAGTTGACGTCATGACAAACAATCCTCATTTTCTATACTGGTACGAGCTTCCTGCTTTACAATTCTTCTACCTAGCCAGGATGCGTTTGTCCGCGAGTGAGCTTGCACTTGCATACTTGCATGGCTACTTTTGCGAGTTGAAGTGCTCCAGAATTGCAGTCTCCAGCGCTCCATTTTCCTGGAGTAGATTGTCAGCGTTGGCCTGCAGAGCCGATGCGGTCGATTTCTTGCGCTCACGGTAGCGGCGCTGGCGCATGTTCTGCAGTTGACGCACATGGTGTAGCCTGTGGCAAGAAAAGCGATGTTAAAGAGAAGAAGATTCCGAATTGCTGATTATCTTTGCTTACCTGTCGGACGTGGGTATGGCCTTCCTGCGTTTGCTGCTGTTGCTGTCGCCTCTATTTCGACGACGAGCTATGGAACTCTGGTTCTTCGGTTCAGCAGCAGGAACGTCTTCATCTTCATCCTGGCGCGCCACACTTGAACTCACAGACCTTTCCTTGCGTTGCAGGCGGGTGCGAGGTGGCGAATCCTCCTCGGACTCGCACAAGATGAACGACAACGACATTGAGGCCATTCCTGCTCAAGCCTGCTCTTCCCGAAAGAAAATACACTGCTGGTTCATGTGGAGCTTTCCATCTCTAGATCTATATACTGCCTTTTTCAGGAAGCCACGTCTTCTCTACACAATGCAAGTCTATTAGAAATTGTAGTCACTTCCAAGCAAAGCCCAGTGGAACTCAATATCACCACTTTGCTTCTCTATAGTTTAGTGCTGTTCCAGTCCCTCCACGTCTTCTGACTTACGCTTCCGGATCTTCTCTCGCAGGTTCGCGAAACTTACATCACCCGGGTTGCACTTAGTTGTCGCGGCACTCTCAACCGCAGCCATCTCCTCTGCGCTTGGTGTACGCTTCACCATTGTAATGAGACGTCTTGCGTACTTTTTAGTAAGCTTCTGTTCCGAGTTCGCAATCACCTGCAGGCTAGGGTGGCGAGGTAGATCGGAGTCCGTGTATTCGTACGTTGTGGGTAGCAGATACACGAGCCGGCCACCTTCGCGCAACGTCTGGGCAGCAAACTCCAGCAGATCTTTCATCACGTCTTCGGCCGCGTACGGCTGCGTAGGGGCGATGTAGTTTGCCTGCTTGCTTGCCATATTCACATCGCTCTTGATTTGGCGCTTGCGTCCACTCTTACGAGCACCGGCACGAATTCCATAGGGCGGATCACATACCACCGCGTCGAAGAAACCCTTACACTGCTTAACGAGAGGTGACATGGAGTTGTCAGCGCGCACAAGCTCTGGAAGCGGAAGGCCATACTGCTTAAAGTTGGTAATAACGTTCACACGCTCCTTCTCGTCGGACTTATCGTCTGTGACGACAACACCAGCGCCCGTGACACCAACGCCAGTACCTAGCAGCACCCGAATGTCAATGTCCGTGCCGTAACACATTGCACCGTGAGTTCCACACGGGATCAAGACACTGCCAGTGCCTACAAACGGGTCGATCACCAGGTCCCCGGGCTGTACCAGAGCCATGTTGCACATCAGCAGAGCCATTTCCGATTCCATCGACGTGGGGCCAATGTACGCTCTGCGTTTCAGCGTCTGTTGATCGACCAGATCTCGTGCGCCGCCGCGTCCTCGATTCTTCTCGCTTCCGGCCAGCTCACGCAAGAAAAATATCTGCTTGGGTTTCATACCCGGATTCAGATCCTGGTCCAGACCCAGTTCCTCCAGCACCAGGAAAGTCTCGTCCGGATTCTTCATCTGCACAGGACCAGCAAAGGGCAGAGCGTCCCGAAACTTTTCACGGCGTTCGCGCTGTTCGTCCATGCTTAGCTTCTTGCCGAACACAGCCACGTTGATACGCCACGAACGTTTGTCGTCCTGCAAAATCTGCTGCTTCTGTGGTCCCTGGAAGGCCTCTACCGATGATACGAGCTCGTCGTAGCCACCACCATTGGCTGTGTGACCCCACACCTCGTACACGCCCTTGACAAGGATGCCACGCTCAGAGAGGAATTTGGCATGTTCTGCTGACGGGAGTTGAACCCGCACGAGCGGGGAGCTTTCGGGTTCCGGTAGTTTTCCGGTCTCCGGGTCCTTCAGCACCGTCTCCTCGACGCTGGGGAGCTTCTGCATTGTCAGTAAAGCCTCCAGTTCTGGGTAACGGAAATCGAAGTGCTGGTGAACGAAGAACACAAGATATTCGGGCATTCTGGAGAGGATTTCGAGGTGATCACAGTAATTCTGGAAGTAAAACAAAGGTGGGTATATAGTGAGGCGTCCTGTGACTAGATCCGATGTTCACGAAATGCTGCCGATGAACAGGACGCGATGTATACAGCGATAGCACTGCGTCTAAATGACCAAGCGTGTGGAACAGCGTTTTTGGGTGGACCTGATGAGGTTGATGCAAATTTTTGGTGTTTGAAACACAAACCCTTTCAAACTATATATTGGCTAATACAGTTCAGTGCGTTCACCTTTGTCAAAAGAAGCGATAAGTTCATTATTGTTTCTTATCGTAACTTCCTATTAATACTAGGAAAATCCTACAATCAACGTTTTGCTCTTACATGTACTGCAATAGCTGCACGATGCTCTGTCATCGACTCACAACGGACTAATCGTCTGGATGAACTCGCGGGCCAAGTGCCAGGCCTTCTTCACAGCTTCCTTCGTCGCAGGGTTGTCGATGTCACCGCGGCTCACCCAGCCGTGGATCATATCCGGGAAGTTTACCACGTTGCTTTGCTTGGCGATAGCAGGATTGGCCTTAAGAATCTTCTCGACCACTCCACCCTCGCTAACAAGAGGAGGGTCGTTGCCAGCCGCGCATAGAAGCTGAGGAACTCTTATGCTCTCCGTCATCTTCTCCACGGCACCTTCACCGTTCACGAGTTGTTCGACATTCCAACTGGGATGAAACGAGACGTGCCCCTTGATAGAAGGGGTCTCCATAGCCGACTGCTTCGCACCAACATACGCACCCCAGCAGTAGCCGTAGCTGCAGATGGACTCCACTCCGATCTCCTCCTGCAGGTAGGCGATGGCGTTAGCCACGTGGGCAGCCGCTACTTTCTCAAAACTGTTTCTCTTCAGCCATGCTGGGATGTCCACGCCGTCGAGAGTGACTGGGTAGTCACCATCAGCGGCGTCCACGAGCACCACAGTGTAACCCAGTTTGGCCATTGCTTCAGCGTCCTGCTTGATACGACCACTGTTCGGGCCAAAAATGTCTGGAATGGCAATCAAACCAGCCTTGGATTGGAGAGGGCCAGCGACAAAGAGCTTCGTGTTGCGGAAGGTCCTTGCGACAATTGCATTGGCGGCGGTCTCCTTGGACGGCTCCATGACGGTAGGGCAACAGCTCATGATTGCTTGGTGTTGTAGCGAGGTAGAGTCTAAAAGCGATAAATTGTAGAATAAGCCGATACGAAGTGGAGGATCGCACCGAAGAGCCTTGCTCTGACATTATCGGTGTTCATAATGTGTGCATGTTGATCGAATGGATAGAATACCATGCAGTGATGTAATCACTAACATGGCGAAGGGATTGCGACAGATTGCACAGATCTTGCACGATTGATCACTCTTTCTCAATAATCGTATACTACACATAGACGAAAGGAAGAAATGTCAATTCCGGTCCGCCGGTTCAATTTGGCAATTGAAACCTTTAGTTTAACGTTAGTACTAAGTATGATTGGCTAGACATTTGTCTACTAGGTAGAATCACTTAGTAAAATTAAGGGAGCTGCCTAATTGGAAAGACCATCACTTTTAATGTACGGATCTATTGTGTTGTATCCGTTAAATACTGTTGTTGTTGACTTCTTTCAAAATCCCTATTATTTCGAAACCTGTCCTGTAACCAGCCGCAGTTCCGATCGCACATAAGAGTATTAATACTCATCCCAATTCATTTATAATTTTGCGCGATTGCTGCGCGGTTCATTCAAAGAACCTAGGATGGAAATTTCGCACTATAAAAGTTTCAGAAATAGCTATTATGTTTGTATTATTGTTAGAACAAAAGATACAAATAAAACTTGAAAAGCCTGTTTGGACTGGTCCTTGCTCCCACAACACAAACAATCTTATTGTGTCCGGAGGTAGAGCGATACCGCTGCATGAAAAGCGGCATTTTTTCTGGATTTGAGACGAGTGCCGTGATGAAGCAAGTGGAAAGTTGTGGACGGCACGAGCTGGCGACAGTTCTGAAGGTTACAGGACTACATACTTCGTATTTGTGATAGAGATGAGTGCCTGCGGATCTAACTTCTGGCGCGATGCAAGTAGCAATTGGTCAATGAACTAACAAATCATGGACAACTAAACGGGAAAAATTGATCACTAACGCGCCACCTTACGCTCCAGATACCTTACTGACGGCGAGTGTGAAACCAAGCTAGACTCTGTAGACCGGCCATAGGACACGCTCGAGCATAGGGTTGGACTTCATCGAGCGTAAGCCTGCGCAGTGGTGGCTCAGCTTGACCAGCTTCAGTAACTGATCGGGGATTCGATTGCTCAGAACACCTTTTCTGCACGCGCGCCCTCGCTTTTGTTTCTTATTTCTAGTGAAAGCCTCCGATGGAGCAGTATCCCTAACTTGCCAGCGTCACGATCACAGCTGACGAACATCGTAAGCACTATTATAGTGGGCACGAATCTCCTTGGTATTTTGAAGACCATGTAAGAGTAACGCAAAACCAACCAGTAAGATATATGCATGGATGCCTCTTGATGTCGACATGCAAATCGTGCATTTCTTTCACGGGTAAGGCTGCGATAAAAATGTCGACATCGCCTGAAGCACCATGCTCGTGAAAAATCTAATAAAACACAGGTTAGCATATATACAAGTTAGCATTAACACAAGAATGATGTAGCGACTATCCTTTTAGCTCACGCGGCCCTTGGGAGGTATGAACACCGGATACAATGTGTCGAACTGAAGCAGCTAAAGTCCAGCAATGCCTGTACACACATTATTGAAGTGGTATCATACAATGTCTTGGGGTTGACAGAATCTTGAAGCGCATCCCCCACCGTGCGCGGGTCGTTGTGATAACCGGGTAAGATAATTCTATCGTCATTGACCATTATAGACGCGCGATAGCGCGAACAAATCGAACAAACAACTTGTGAATAACCTTGGCAGTGATGCTTGCATTGTTCTCAGGGGTCCCGAAAAATAAATATGCAAAGCAATATATTAATATTTTGATATGCAATATTTTATTTTGTCGCAATCTTACTAACTATTCATATTTTATTTTGATATCTAGTGAACACTCATATAATATTTTCCATTCCCTGACAACCAACAGTTTTGGGCCAGCAGCTAGAAACCAACCATCACACCTGCAGCCTTAAGAGCAAAACGAACGCCAATCCAGACCTGTGCAGTCACTCTTAAACATTTCCCACCGCCCTCACGAAGCTCAAAGTTACCGCAACCTCCTGTGCAATGAGTGCGTTTGCCTCGACCCGACCCTCCCGACCTTTCTCGAACAAGCAAGTCGCTCGGTTCTACTTCTCGCCGGCCCTCGACGAGCAAGGAGAGCCGACAAGCTATCAAGTTGCAAGGCTTGCGGTAAGCACCGCAAGCACACGCCTCGGTCGGGCTACACCAACCTGGTGTCACACGTTCGTGACAGTCACCCCAACTACGAGGACGCGATGCGAGATGCAAGCGCTGCAGCCACCGGGACGCTTGTCCCATGGGTCAGCCAGACGGCGACAAACCGGTTCAGTTGGATCGTCATGTGCAACCTCCCTTTCTCTTTTTGCGAGTCGGAAGAGACGCGAAGGTACGAAATCGTTACTGCATTTGACGTTTTGTTTGTATTTCTAATATTTGTACCACTGTATTAAATGTAGGTTTACTAACTTACCGCCGATCTGCGTCGAGACGCTCTATGGTGACATGGAGAGCGTCGTGAAGGCCGTCGAGAAGTCCATCGGCGAGGAGATGCCCAAGTCGTTCGGCCTCGTCATCGACGGCTGGACCCATGGCACCGAGCACTTCCTAGCTGTGTATGCATGCTAAGAGTCCTCGGACGGCCCTCGCTTCCCGCTCCTGTCTATGGCCCCGATAATCGACGAGCCGGATGATGCGCTCAATGCAGACGGCCACGCAGCGGCTATCGCACGGTTTTTGCCATTTTTTTTGGACGGAGCCTGGACGATGTGCCGTTTTTAGTCGGCGACAATTGCGCAGTCAACAAACGACTGTCTAACCTCATGGCTGTGCCACTTGTTGGCTGCGCAAGCCACCGTCTAAATCTCGCGATGCGTGAGTATCTAGCTCCCCATAAAAACACTCTGGCAGAAGTCCAAGCGCTTATGCGTAAGCTGCGTACACTCAAGCAAGCAGCCAAGCTCCGGTACGAGTACTATTTTTGGTATTACTTTTTTTGATAGTACTAAATCTGTCGTTACTATTTCTGCAGCAAAAAAACTGCTCTCCAGCCAGTCCTTCGCCAAGACACGCGATGGTCGTCGACGTTCACGATGCTCGCCCGTTATTTCCGCCTGTACGAGCACCACTCCCCGGATGACGAGGACCTCGAAGACCTCATCCCTTCGCGAACCACGCACCGTAGCCTTTGCAAGCTCTTCGACGAGCTGCACGATGTAAAGTCAATCTCCAAGAAGTTGCAAAACGACGGCCTAACGCTACTCGATGACCGAGACCTTCATGGCGGTTTGTTAGAAGTGCACCCTTCATTTGGAAACTATCAAGGTAAGTGTCTTTTTCGAATTACTATGGGATCAAAACTCCTAACTATATGATTTTGCTGCTATTAACGTTAGCACCCAACGCTCCCATCGTTCACTCGCCGAAGTTCGAGTCTGCAGTGGTTAAGATGCTGGGCGGAAGGCGACGCGACTGACAACTGCGGAGAAGGCGCTGCGGAAACATTTTCGACGCGTAGCAGCTGCTGCTGCTCCTCTCGACGACGAGCAAAGCACCAGCTTCGCTGAGCGGATCCTGAAGCGCAGGAAGGTTTGACGCAGCCCCCAGCACTTTTTTCCTGCTCAGCGCGATTCCACCTACGTCAAACGTGGAGCGCCTGTTTAGCTCAGCCAGATCGGTGCTGCGTCACGAGCGCCACCGTTTTTCTCCGCAGGCGCTCGAGATGATCCTCTTCTTGAGGGCCAACAGCTTGTACCGGAACGTAGCAACTGTTGATGCTTGTCTGCTGTAGATAAACTCGAGTACAAGCCAAGTTTGAAGCGACAATGTTTTATTCCTGTGTGCCGAGTTGTTCAATTGTTTATTTTTTTCTCCAACAAGTAGGTCAGGCGCTATCTATTTGCTTCGATCACCTTTAGTTGATATATATTGTATTTTCGGGATCCCTGATTCTTCACGGTCTATTAGCTAATGAACAGTTCTCTACTCCATACCCCACCCATTCGATAAACGTGAGTTTGTGCGGTCAAACGCCCTCTGGAAGGTGGGTTTGTGTGGTCAAACGGCCTCTGGACCAAACGTAGATCTTTTGAATCTTGTGTGACGTTTCATTTAGATCGAATATCCTCTTATCGACGGTAATACTTGTTAGCTTCAAAACCGAGAGCAGAGTAAACTGGAAATCAGAGTATTTCATCAACTGATCAATTAGTCTAGACAGGTTTCAGCACTGTTGGCTAGTGATGACAGCCTTACTCGTCAACGCATTCGGATCTCTACACCAAGATCAACAATCTGTTATATGTGAGTATGCGTGTGTAGTAATCTAGCGATACCGCTTTGTCAACAATTCAATGAATCTCCATCGTACTATGAATAGTTTACGCTTAGAGCAGCAGTATTCTGGCGAGAAAGACAAACTAAAGACATATCCTCTCTAGCCATTGCTCCTCCAAAGGAAAATACGCGAATATGCAGGCGCATATAAAGTGATCAAAAACACAGAATGTATTTTCATGGATGCCGATCTAACACCACATCACAGTCACACTCAGGTTTCTCTATTTCTACTTGGTGCAGCACCGCTTGACTTGGAACTGTGGTGCCTTGGTACATATATACACAGGTCGACTGTGTGGCACAGGAGTAGCTTGGATCACCGGCTTAATCCACACTAGTAACAGGTGCTAGCCACAACTCCGGCTTTTGCAAAACGTGGAGAAGAAGAACTTTACGTCGTAATGGTATTTGAGTGTAGTAGCATGCTGTTGAGCACACCATCGCTGTGTCCATGTGGAAGCATGGCTTCTTAAGCATACGCGAGTCGGCAAGAGTCAATACACTGAGATCGGTGACCTTGGTTGCCGGTCTCTGATGATAACGGTCTGAAGTGGATCACAGCTGGAAGATAACGTAGTTGTAGAGAGAGCCTTGGTCTACGCGCTGCTGGCTCTAGCCATTGATGCTACTTGTGACCACGTCTAACGCTACGACCAGCAACGAAGATCCTAGTCGGTCTCGGGCCAGTTGGACGTGAGCGCCACAGCCACCACTAGCCATTGAGCACCTTGACATCACGGCGAGCGCGATGACCAGCGAACACAGCACCAGTCGGTCTGACAAGACAACACGACGGCGGCGGCGACGGCGGCGACAGTACTGACAAAACCGAGCATGTGCTACTCAGTATTGAGATCACTGCCGTCAGATCGATGCAGCGAGTGCGATGTCCAGTAGTGATCATCTTCTTCAATGGCGAGGTGGGTGATTCGGTGCACATGGAGCCGTGTCGATCGAGCTTGGTGCGGCGAGCTGACGCTCACATGCATGTATTACGGAAGGTATTCAACTTGAAGTGGACGTAGCTGTGATCGCTGACTGGCTGCTTCTACACGAAACGGCCAATCAAACGGAGTGATCATTGCGATGAATAATTTGATTGGCGGAATGGGTCGAGCGAACCCGCAGGCGAAACTTCGGTTTCTCGCCTAGTGGATAGAATCCTCCGGTCGGTCGAAAGCCGCCTAGGGATAGATCACTCGTCATTGGACAATATTTCGTATAATTACTAGCAAGAAAACCAATACCTGCTTCAACCCCTATTTAACACACAAGAAATAATTAGGTAAATTTGACAGTAAAACAGACTTGCTCAACCGCGCTACCATCATAGCAAGCACCAGGGGCATGCACAATCATAGTCAACACGGGGCTATAGCAATCACTATCGATTAGGAGGTGGTGTATAGTACGGCTATCTAGAAATTCGGTTGTATTGCTAGTTTTGAGGTGGACCAGCGGACCGTCCAGAATCGAATTTGTTGGCTTTTTTAGTGGCATGCTTGGGATTTTGGCATACGAGAAGGAAAAAGGAGCGATGGCCCTTACGCTAGGCGCTTTGTGGCACACCGTTCCAATTCGTAATAAGTAAGTTATTGCCATTATGACTTGTGGCATGGACATGTGATATGGGCGGATACAAAAATATAAACGTGAACACCTTTAATCCTACTATTTTAGCTGATCTTCTTGCTGTACCAAAATGAATGATGTGGCTTCGTGGACCACGAGACACTAACAAAGATAGGCTATTGGATAAACCACACAGAGCAGAATGCTCGTGTACAGCTTTCTCGATGCCGTGGGCATAACTTGCTCATTGTGATGGCGTGGACAAACCGTGGCGCGTTTGTAACGAAATCTTCTAATGCTGCGTTACTGGATGGATCGAAGACGAGGTTATTTGAGAACACTATTGTACTCGATTTTGCTGCTACATTCGTTGCGTTGTTCAGTTGTCGTACGTCGTCTTCGTAAACAACGACTTTGGCTAGTCTCGAATGGGAGGATATAGCAGGTGACAAAAACGACTATGATAGCTTCGCAAGCTGACTCTGCGCTTCAATACCGACACACATCCCGACTTGGGTCTCCAGTGCAACTTGGACAATAACGTTGCCAATACCGGAGCCAATGTCCAAGAAAATGTCAGTGCCTTGTAGTCGAGGTAGCACAGCTAAGATCGCCGTAACACCAGCTTTAGAAATCTCACCTGAACGATGCTCAAGGTTGGGGCGCTTGGGTTTGACTTGCTTCCGGGAAACGGACCGGAAAACATTGTCAACAATTTGATGAACGTATGCCGAATCTCTATTTACGCGTACGGCCATCCCAGTAGTAGGCGCGGCTAGGTCGCGCTGCAAACCGGTGAAGAAACGTCTTGGAAATCGATCCAAGTTCGTCCCGTGTGTTCGTTTTAGTGTTTTCAAGCGTATCTGCAGCTAGTGTCGTGTTATTCCGGTAGTCATCATCTGCTGCCACAATAATTTCCAATCGATTCGATGACCTTCGTTGAGCTGCGCTTTTGTAAGACAGAATAACAACCGATCTTCCTCGTTGGATAAATCAGACATCTGTGTGGTATAGCAAAAATGTCACGGAATCATGGTGAGGACTTGTACTTCACGATGGAAATTGTAGAGTGAATTGAAAATTAAAACTAACTGCAGGCCTACGAACTGGACACGCTCTTGTGTCCAACGCATTGCCCGTAAACAACGGTCAGGTCAGCGTCCAGTAATCCTTAATAAAAGAGAGGGACTTTATCAGGTCTAGAATCGTAAACGGAGGTAACTCCGTTACACGACCTCCCTTGAGAAGAAGAGGCTTCGGCTCGGGAAGGTTGCTGCGAAGGTCTTCGCTCCGTTACA